ACTGAACGCTGATAACACGATGGAAGGTCTCCCTCTTCTTTTGCCCGGAGGACACGGCGTCCGTGATTTCCAACAAGAATGTCAAATTTGGACTCGTCGGACCATAGAATACTTTTCCACTTTGAAATAGTCCATTTTAAATGAGCCTTGGCCCACAGGACACGACGGCGCTTCTTGACCATGTTCACATATGGCTTCCTTTTTGCATGATAGAGCTTTAGTTGGCATCTGGAGATGGCACGGCGGATTGTGTTTACCGACAGTGGTTTCTGGAAGTGTTCCTGGGCCCATTTCGTGATGTCATTCACACAATCATGCCGATGAGTGATGCAGTGTCGTCTGAGGGCCCGAAGACCACGGGCATCCAATAAAGGTCTTTGTCCTTGTCCCTTACGCACAGAGATTTCTCCAGTTTCTCTGAATCTTTTGATGGTGTTGTGCACTGTAGATGATGAGCTTTGCAAAGCCTTTGCAATTTGACGTTGAGGAACATTGTTTTTAAAGTGTTCCACAATCTTTTTACGCACTCTTTCACAGATTGGAGAGCCTCTGCCCATCTTTACTTCTGAGAGACTCTACCTCTCTTAGACATCCCTTTTATAGCTAATCATGTTACAGACCTGATTTAAATTAACTTTATTAGTTGCTAGATGTTCTCCCACCTGAATCCTTTCTAAATTTCTTGCTTTTTCAACCATTTGTTGCCCCCGTCCCAACTATTTTGAGACCTGTAGCAGGCATCAAATTTGAAATGAGCTCATTTAGTGGATAAAAGTGTAAAATTTCTTCGTTTAAACATTTGTTATGTTATCTATGTTCTATTGTGAATAAAATTTTGGCTCATGTGATTTGAAAGTCTTATAGTTTTCATTTTATTCAAATTTAAAAAACGTCCCAACTTTTCCGGAATTCGGGTTGTATATATACACTCACCGGCCACTTTATTAGGTACACCTGTCCAACTGCTCGTTAACACTTAATTTCTAAGCAGCCAATCACATGGCGGCAACTCAGTGCATTTAGGCATGTAGACATGGTCAAGACAATCTCCTGCAGTTCAAACCGAGCATCAGTATGGGGAAGAAAGTTGATTTGAGTGACTTTGAACGTGGCATGATTGTTGGTGCCAGAAGGGCTGGTCTGAGTATTTCAGAAACTGCTAATCTACTGGGATTTTCACGCACAACCATCTCTAGGGTTTACAGAGAATGGTCCGAAAAAGAAAAAACATCCAGTGAGCGGCAGTTCTGTGGGCGGAAATGCCTTGTTGATGCCAGAGGTCAGAGGAGAATGGCCAGACTGGTTCGAGCTGATAGAAGGGCAACAGTGACTGAAATAACCACTCGTTACAACCGAGGTATGCAGCAAAGCATTTGTGAAGCCACAACACGCACAACCTTGAGGCGGATGGGCTACAACAGCAGAAGACTCCACCGGGTACCACTCATCTCCACTACAAATAGGAAAAAGAGGCTACAATTTGCAAGAGCTCACCAAAATTGAACAGTTGAAGACTGGAAAAATGTTGCCTGGTCTGATGAGTCTCGATTTCTGTTGAGACATTCAGATGTTAGAGTCAGAATTTGGCGTAAACAGAATGAGAACATGGAACCATCATGCCTTGTTACCACTGTGCAGGCTGGTGGTGGTGGTGTAATGGTGTGGGGGATGTTTTCCTGGCACACTTTAGGCCCCTTAGTGCCAATTGGGCATCGTTTAAATGCCACGGCCTACCTGAGCATTGTTTCTGACCATGTCCATCCCTTTATGGCCACCATGTACCCATCCTCTGATGGCTACTTCCACCATGTCACAAAGCTCTAATCATTTCAAATTGGTTTCTTGAACATGACAATGAGTTCACTGTACTAAAATGGCCTCCACAGTCACCAGATCTCAACCCAAAAGAGCATCTTTGGGATGTGGTGGAACGGGAGATTCGCATCATGGATGTGCAGCCGACAAATCTGCGGCAACTGTGTGATGCCATCATGTCAATATGGACCAAACTCCCTGAGGAATGCTTCCAGCACCTTGTTGAATCTATGCCACGAAGAATTGAGGCAGTTCTGAAGGCAAAAGGGGGTCCAACCCGTTACTAGCATGGGGTACCTAATAAAGTGGCCGGTGAGTGTATATTTTTTTCTTTAAGGCTTGCACCTTGGAACCTATTTCAAGGTTTGCGTTCTCAAAACACAGGCACTGTTGTTGTGCGAATGAGCGATTAAAGGTCCCCTGACATGAAATGTTCACTTTCTGAGGTTTTTTAACATTAATATGAGATCCCCTAGCCTGTATATGGTCCCCCAGTGGCTAGAAATTTCAATCGGTGTAAACCGAGCTTTGGCTATCTTTCTCTGCCTTTGAGAAAATGAAAGCTCAGACGGGCTGATCTTGAATCTCCTCCGTATGACGTCATACGGAGGAACGGTAACCTCCCCTTTCTCTGCTTTGCCCGCCCAGAGAGTTCGGCTCGCCCATGAGAAACCGAGATAGGAAGTACGAACGCGCGAGCGAGATTTGAGTTTTTCTCGAGAGATATCATGGCTTGCAAATGAGCGAAGCATGGCAGTTGCTCAGTGTTCGGATGTACAAATGAACACAAAAGTATTTTTTAGTTCCTTCATCCGAGCCTCTGAAGAAACAATGGGTTAATTTTATTTTCTCTGGAAATGCGCCGACACAACTTCCCAAAGTTTTGTATGGTCCAAACATTTCACCGACGACTGTTTCCTCAACTTGGGCCAGTACAGAGATGGCCTCGATGAACGTCTGAGAATAAATCATCGAGCTACCAAGCAACAATTTCTGATGTGCAGCCTTTGTTCAAGTTCAGACAGGTAATCTTTCTCTCAAAATCGTTCAATACTGTTTATGCATCAGTAAGTCAAGCCAGTGACTAAAATATCAACTTCACATCGTTTCTTTTAGGATGAAAATAATCTTATTTAAATTGTGAACAAATTATACAAAAAGCAATCAAAGAACAATCTTTCCACACAGCGCGAGTTTATCTGGACAACTCGTTCTGAAATCAATGACACACGTTACACTGCACAACGAAGCTCTTACTGTAAGTAGGCCTACATCATCATGTTTGCATTGGTGAAAGCATTAGAGAGAGCAGAAACTGCGTTGCAATGATAAGATCTTCATGCTCGCGATCAACACACTGTCATCTGCTGCTCAATGCTCATCACGAAAACATTTTATATGATGGGAATAGATCTAAATACTTTAAAAACTTCTCACAATTCGTTAATCTTGATAGCTGTAATAGTAGAAACGTATAATAGCTGTAGTAAAAATATTCGAGAGAGTTTCACATGTAATATGTAGCTATTTTATATGCAAGCATGTTAGCCAATCACAGCAGTGGATGATTACACTGAATCCCACTGCAGACACGCCCCTTCGAACAGAGCGTTCAAATCAGGCTAGGAAAAATGCCTTTTATTTCTAAATTATGACTATTTTTGATCTAAAAGCTCACTAAAGCTAAGCAGGGCTGAGCCTGGTTAGTACCTGGATGGGAGACCTTCTGAGAAAACCAGGTTGCTGCTGGAAGAGGTGTTAGTGAGCCCAGCAGGGGGCGCTCACCCTGTGGTCTGTGTGGGTCCTAACGCCCCAGTATAGTAATGGGGACACTATACTGTCAATTGAGCACCGTCCTTCGGATGAGACGTTAAACCGAGGCCCTGACTCTCTGTGGTCACAAAAAATCCCAGGATGTCTTTCGAAAGAGTAGGGGTGTAACCCCGGCATCCTGGCCAAATTTGCCCAGTGGCCTCTGTCCATCATGGCCTTCTAATCATCTCCATATATATATACCAATTGGCTTCATCACTATGTCTCCTCTCCACCAGTAAGCTGGTGTGTGGTGGGCGTTCTGGCGCAATATGGCTGCCGTCGCATCATCCAGGTGGAGCTGCACATTGGTGGTGGTTGAGGAGATTCCCCCTTCTATGTGAAGCGCTTTGAGTGTCCAGAAAAGCGCTATATAAATGTGATGAATTATTATTATTATTATAAAAAACATACTAACATTATAAGGGCAACCCAGGAAACATAAAATAATAAAATTACCCCATGTCAAGGAACCTTTAAGGGTTTTCTGTTAGAGCGGTGTCGTGTTAGCGGCCCCTAAGTAAATTACTAATGATCTTTGCAACGGAAGTGAATCGATCAAAACTAACTTTATCTGGACAATAACTTTATTCTAGAGCTGCTGTAAAGCCTAAACACTCTCTGTTACTGTAATCTCCTGTTATCACTGTTAAGCTGCTGTGAAACAGTCCATATTGTTAAAAGCGCTATATAAATGAAGGTGACTTGACTTGAATTGAAACAAGACAAGTAATATGCGCTAAAAAAGTAAATTTTGATTTCATGACGACTTTAATGAGGGACACATGCAATGATGCATTATAATTTGGGCATAAGGTGTCTTAAAATGTCTTGTATTTTATATTCTATAATATTGCAAGTCTGAGATGATATCCTAATATATAAACTGAAATTTAAGTTGTTATTCACTGATAAAAATTTTTTTTTTAAAATTTGGGTGGATTATTACTTTAAGAGCCCGTGAAAGCTTTAATGGTCTGTTTATGTTAACACACACTACAGTTCGAATGATAGGGTTCAGTGTGTTTTATGTTTTATCAAAGCTGCATTTATTTGATCATAAATTTAGTAAAAGAGTGAAATATTACTCCAGTGTAAATCATCTGTTCTCTATGTGAATATACAGTAAAGTGTAATTTATTCCTGTGATCAAAGCTGAATTTCAGCATCATTACTCCAGTCTTCAGTGTCACATGATCCTTCAGAAATCACTCTAATATGATGATCTGATGATCAAGAAACATTTATGATTCCTGCTTTTAGCTATTATGCCAGCCGCAGCTGGAACCAGCTTCCAGAGAAGATCAGATGTGCTCCTACAGTAGTCACTTTCAAATCGAGACTCAAAACACATCTGTTTAGCTCCGTGTAACGGAGTGTAAAATGTTAAATTACTGCATAAATGGGGACAGCGCCATCTGGCTGATGCGTGATGGCATTTAGTGCACGGAATAGGGACCACCCACAGCAGAGATAATGAGACACGCTGTGGGTAAGTTGCACTTTTCGAGCAGTCGGAGAATTATCAGTTAAAAGTGTCCAAAACACATAAAAAACTGCTTTATGGTGAATTGATCTTACAATGAACTTGTTAAGCAACTTTTGATATGTGTTTGGCGTCGAGTGTGTAATTTTATATTGAGTTATTCCGACTTTGTATTACGAGGCACAATCGTAATTCATTTGTGCATTGTCTTGTGTTTTATGTAGAACTGATTCATTCTCCATAAAGTGAAACCCCTATTTCCACGTTTATATCTCCATTGTGCAGACCACCCAGGCAAGACCGTCACATCCGCATTTACTGAATGAGCACTGTGCCACTGTCCGTCCGACTGTTTTTACTGTACTTTATTTTATTTTTTATTCTAAACTGTTTTAATTATTCTTATTTGTTTTGATTATTTTAATTTCTTTATTCTAACCTGTTTTAATTATTGTTATTTCTTTTTATTTTTTATTTTTTTTATTTCTTCTATGTAAAGCACTTTGAATTACCATTGTGTATGAAATGTGCTATATAAATAAACTTGCCTTGCCTTGCCTATGATTATTATCAATGTTGGAAACATTTGCATATTTTTGTGCAAACCATCATACATTTTATTCTTCAGGATTCTTTGTTGAATAGAAAGTTCAAAAGAACAGCATTTATTTGAAATATAATCTTTTGTAACATTATAAATGTCTTTACTGTCACTTTTGGTCACTTTAATGTGTCCTTGATGAATGAAAGTATTATTTTCTTTAAAAAAATGTTTACTGACCTCAAACTTTTGCATGGTAATGTACAGTGCACAGGAAAAAGTGTGAGTGTGTATATATATGAGTCTGTGTGTGTGTGTGTGTGTGTGTGTGTGTGTGTGTGAGAGAGAGAGAGAGAGAGAGAGAGAGCACTGCATTGGCTCCCTATTAAACATCGTATACATTTTAAAATATTGCTGACTACTTACAAAACACTAAATGGTTTAGCTCCCAGTACTTGAGCGAGCTCTTAACGCATTATAGTCCTTCACGTCTATTGCGATCTCTAAACTCCGGCCAGTTGATAATACCTAGAATATCAAAATCGACTGCTGGCGGGAGATCCTTTTCCTACTTAGCACCAGAACTCTGGAACAGTCTTCCTACTATTGTCCGGGAAGCAGACACACTCTGTCAGTTCAAAGCTAGACTAAAAACACATCTCTTTTACCTGACATACACATAACACATTATACATTTCTATTATTCAAATGAGTTAAATGATTACATCATAAGAAGAATGGCATCTACGCTAATTTTAGTCTTTCTGTTTATTCCGAGGTTTACTGAAGTCAGCCGGATCCGGGCCGTATCCAGATCAGACGGTGGACCTGCGCCTATACACGTCCACAACGCATCCCTGCAGTGCCATCCTCATCAGCCATGTGAAGGCTTCATGAACACCTCTACAAACTCGTCTCCATACCGGCGTGACTCCGACCTCCAACCAGAGGGAACTGGATAATATTGTGAATGTTCTGATCCAATCTGATTTCTGACCTGTAATGCTTCTGGATCATAATCATACACTGTTTGCTCGCTGGCCAGAGGAGAACTGAGAGACTGAGTCTGGGTTCTCCCAAGGTTTATTCTCCATTCTGTCCCTGATGGAGTTGGTTCCTGGCCACTGTTGCCTTGGCTTTTGGCTTGCTTAGTTGGGGACGTTTAATATTCAACAATATTATTGATCTGCCTTACTTCAGGTGGACGATGACACAATTTTCTTCTAGAAACAAACTTGTATTATTTTCATGTTATCACTGTGAAGATCTGTATTGTAAAAAGCGCTATTTAAATAAAGGTGACTTGACTTGTGAGCGTGTGTGAGAGAGTGTGTTTGTGTGTGTGTGTGTGTGTTTGTTTGTGTGTGTGTGTGTGTGTGTGTGTGTGTGTGAGATAGGGCTTGTGTTTCATCCACACATAGCTCATTGAAAGGAAGGAATGCTAGAAAGGGCAGATGAAGAAATCTGACATTTTCTGCTGACAGTCTTTAACCTCTCAATAATTAATAACAACAATACTCTCAATAATTCACACACTGAACCGATTCCATTCCCTTCAGCCACTGAACATTCACAGAATTCACCGTAAGCGTCACTGAGACACAAACATTAAAAGCCTTCGTCAAAGAGACGGCATGATTATGACATAAGCTTTCAGAGTAATAGTCGACTTACTTTCATAAATCACAGGATTAAAAGGCCGACAGTCACTGATCTCTCTCACGATCTTATCGAGCTTTTCAGTCTTCAGCTGCTGGAAATATTTCATTCCTAAATGTCACTTTCATTCTTCTTGAGTCACGTGTGAGTTTGGAGAGTCTGAATGGTGTGTTTGTGCCTGAAGTCTCAACATTAGGGCTGTGACTCTTTGGGTAGGCAGCGAATCGATTCGATTCACGATTCATAGGTTTTCGATTCGATTCAAGAACGATGTTTTGCAAATTCAGAAAGATTCGATTCAATGCGATTCACATTAAAATTCGATGCGATTCGATTAATTCGATTCGATTCTTAATTTTTTATATGCATTCATAGGATTATTTAAATGCTTCGCCTAATGGGTCTTAGTCAGGGTGTGAATTATACAGCTGCCTTCGGGGGTCAGAGAGTAAAAAAAAAAAAAAAAAAAAAAAAAAACACGACATTTTGTCTATTGTTAACGTTAGTTCATGTTAGTTTTTAATGAATCTATTATTATAAAAAATATTTTCCAAAGCCTATAAATTAGCATTTGTAAAAATGTAAACCAAGATTTAAAAAGGCTTTAAAAGTATAGTTAGTTCATCAAGCTAACTATTTTGTAGGAATGGATACACAACCTTAAAATGTTCCTGGTACATTAAACATCCTTCCATTGTGAGACTAAAAATACCATGAACTTTCCCAACTAAACCTTAACTAACGTTTCCTCATGGAATAGCTACTCTTTGTTCTCTTTATCCGACTGAACATTTTCCTTGTGATTCTGAAAGAAAACGCGCCGGCTGTCTACTTGTGCTATATTAACGATTACGAATGCAACTTTAATGCGCATCTGATTGATGGATAAACCACGCGCTCTTATTTCAGTGTAATTAATGTTGTAGTTATTTCATCAGTTCAGTTTAACGACATTAAGTTATATTTCATTCATCATTCATGATTAATCGGAAGCGTGTGCATTTTAGACACCTATTATACGTTTTCTCTTCCATGTAATAAATGCGCACCCTTGAATAAGTGGGGTTTTACTTTAACTGCTCAGGACGGGTATGACCCATTTCCGTAAAACTTCAGTATCTTATCTTAAAGAAAATAACGGTGACGTTTCCACGCAACGAATGCGTTGTTTCATAGCAGTGACCGCGCAATGATATAGCAGCTTTATCATGGCTTGCTTTCTCGATAGAGAGCTGTCATCTGCTCATGTGAACACCAATGGCTGTCCTGAGGAGAGCTCAAACATAGACTGCTCAAAAATCTGTAGATGAGAGCTATATGCGTCGCGACCGAGCGCGAGCGAAATCCAGTGAAAGATGGTAAGAGTGCAGCGAGTATGTGAGAGCTGTGAGGACGCGAAATGACGCCGCACAACGCCTCATTAATTCGCGCATGTAGTCATTTAATGTTTATATGTTTTAAAGCACTGAATCGATATAGAATCGCAAATTATTCGATTCTTAGCATTTTAAATCGAATATTGACCGAAATAAACGATTCACGATTCGAAATACATGTTTCAAGATCGATGCATATGCATCGTCAGGATTTGTAATCGATGCATCGAGAAAACGAATGAATCGTTACACCCCTACTCAACATGTGTCTGCTTTCTCATCGTTTTTCTTTTTTTGCTACATTGTCAAAGGCTCGTCCAGTTTTTGTGGGATAATTTGGGATGGCTAGGGATAAGGGTGTTGTTCTGGTTATTTGTACAAAAAAACCCAGCAGGTTGTGAAGTTTGCCATGTATGAATCTGCTTAAATATTCTATTGAAGTGAATGCAAAGAGTTTATCAACCGCTTTATGTTTTATTTTTTAGTTAGTTAGAAAACTTTATTAATCCCTGTAAGGGGAAACTCATTCGCCACCATTGCATATTACAGACACCATAGATAGACAAATAAACATTAAAAAACAACAATCAATAAATACGAGAAATTACACAACCTCATTAAAAAACCTAACTGCATTCGGAGTAAAAGACCTTCTAAATCGCTCAGTAGAACACAGAGGCATTACTAATCTTCCACTAAATGATCTTTTAAGTCCACTAAAGATACAATGTAGTGGATGACCTTTGTAACACATAATTATTTTATGCACTTGTTCTCTTCTCCACAGTAACCTCAAGTGAATCAGGATTAAGGCCAATAACCGAGCCAGCCTTTCTAATCAATTTGTTAATCCTATTTTTATCATCTACAGTGATACTACATCCCCACCAGAGCACTACATAAAACAAAACACTAGCTACGATTCCCTGATAGAAAACATAAAGAAGCTTCCTACTTACTCCAATAGAACTCAACTTCCTCAAAACGAATAGTCTTGATTGCGCCTTCTTAAAAACAGCCTCACTATTCTTCTTCCAGTTCAGTTTACTGTCCAAGACTGAACAATCTCTACTTTCTTATCTTATCTTACTTATCAATTCTTTTTAAATCTGAACAGAACAATAAATCAACTTCCTTTTTAGGAGCACAATGCCTCTGCATTTTAAATTGAGAGTATTTAATATATATATAAAAAAATCAAACATCACCATGTTCACAGAGCTGTTATCCTAGAGTTAACAAAATGATATCTGCAGAATAATCACTGAATCCTCCCATGAAGGAATGATCTCTCTCTCACACACACGCACGCACGCACGCACGCACGCACGCACGCACGCACGCACGCACGCACGCACACACGCACACAAACACACACACACACACACACACTTAAACACACGCACACACTTAAACACACGCACACACGCACACAAACACACACACACACACACACACACACACACTATTACCAGCAGAGGGCGATAATCGTCAACAAATAACAAGTTACAAGCTTTGGGTCATTTACAATAAATAATTAATGTGCAAAGATAATTAAACTAAGACAGTGAAAAACTCCTAATCTGGCCACAGAAATATCATCATGGACACTCAAATAATATGTATACATTTATATAATGTATACATATTGAGGGTGATGAGGGTGAAGAGGATTTACAACCCGAACC